TACCACACCATCTCTCTGTCACGGTCAGCGGCCCCCGCTGCCCCCCCCATCTGCCTAAGCCTCTGCTCTTCATATCACAGCCCCTGCTTTAAGATCATTCACGTTTTTTCCTGCCTCAGTTTTTTGTTTATTTCATCCTGTTTGGTCCTGCACTGCCTATCACCCATTTTCTGCTCCTGTCACTCTCTCTCAGCAATCTGCACTCATATGCTGCACCCTGTCTCTGCAATCACCACTCACCTGCCACACCTGTTCAGCTCACTACTTAAGCTCCACTCTCACTCTCCTCAGTGCCAGATTATTGAAAGCCTCACAGCCAGTAAAGTATCCAGCATTCGTTCGTTCTAGTCTCTTTGTTTTTGACCACAGCTTCCCTCTTGACTCCTTGCTTTGTCTTTGCCCCTGTCTGGATACCACGCTCTCGGCCTACATGGTACAACCTCGCTCTCCTCTTCGACCACGACTACGGATCATCCTTTTGCCTGTTCACACAGCTCCTGGCTCTCGACCCCTGCTACGTCCCTGGATTCTGTTTCCTGCCCAGCCCTCCAACGTTCTCTGTCTCAGCCCTGCTCCTGCCACAGAAGATTGGACCAGAACTGAGGCTCAGATCCTTCAGACGAACGCCTATAATAAAAATAAAACATTTTATTTTAATATTGTCCTGAGTCAAGTGTTGTGCCGATCCATACAGACTCGTGACACTCTCAGTCAGACAGTGTGATCAGTTTGATCAAAATCCTCCAGTTTAAAATCCTCACTGCTCAGATGAATCCTGCTCAAAGATACTTCCTCCTCTTCCTCACATCTTGTTCTTTGGGAAACCTTCAAAATGAAAACAGGAGATTTGTGTCTACACAAAAACATTGTACAGAGGAGGTCAATCTTATTTCCTATTTCCTATATTCTCCCTAGTTTAATTTTTTTATATCCTAGAACTTAAACAAAACTCCAGTTTTGATGCATATCTGTTGATAATGAACCAATGCTACTGAAATTGTGAGTATGCTTGTTAGCAAAATATTCCTGTCATCAGATCTCAGTCAGCTTCACTGAACATCACATCAGCTGGTGGACATAAATACAGTACAGTAATATTCTATTCACAAAATACTAACAATAATATGTTCATCTTGCTTGTGAAAAGTTATCCCCCGAGACCTGACGTCAACAGTCCATCGATTAAAACAGAAATAAGCTGCGAAGTGCTGAGACATCTTCTGCTTTAACCAAATAAGGACAATCGTTTCAAGATGGCGGCTGAAAATCCTGCGCCGCAGCAGCCAATGAGGCATCTAGTGTTCATATCTATGCTCCCCACTACCCAGTTATGTTGCTCTTATTTTGAAATGTAATCGGAAGTTCTGTGTTAAGAGAGGCGGAAAAATAAGTTATGGAGACGCCGCGGCAGTATACTCGAGCAATGTCGAACCGAGACGCCGCTAATGTTGAACCGGTTAACACCATAGACATAATATGCCTGTGGTTAACACAATCTGCCAATAATGCCTTGTTTTTAGACATCATGTGTCTGTGGTTACGGCATTTTATCGTTCAGCCTTTTTTTCTATCGTCCAATCAGATGTGGCTGGCCAGACACGCCCATTTTTCTATCGTCCAATCAGATGCGGCCGGCCAGACACGCCCATTTTCATATAGTCCAATCAGATATGACTGCCCAGATACGCCCACTTTCCTATAGTCCAATCAGATATGCTCGCCCAGATACGCCTTCCGAATTTGCCTGCAGAGATACCTACTTGCATGCACATTCGTTTCTCCTAGTGCAGCTTTGTGAAGCGTTAACCCTTTGTTCTCCAGATGCACCGATCAACTTTTGTCTTCCAACTTAAAATTCAAAGTATGTCACATGGTAAAATTGTCATAATCACAAAATATAAAGTGTTAAATGTTATTTTTAGTTATAACATCTATGTTTAATCAAGGAGTACATTTCTGCTCTGTGCTGCAGCTGTGTGACATCCCTTTGATGTCGTGTTGCACTTCTCTTCTCTACAATTTAAATATAAAAACTGTAACTTGTTAAGTAAATAAGCATGGATTGTTTGTTTAAAATGTTACAGTATTGAAATTTAAATTGGTTATTTAAGGAGAAAGATTGGGAGTGAGTGATTATAGCCTGGCACATGCTTGTTTCCTCTGGTGTCGGATGCTGTGCAGCTGGAAGGATTTTTACAGAAACTTTGTTAGCTTTGGACATTTGTTATGATGTGTAACCATGGCAACAAGGCAGTTTTCTACAACCACCAGTTGATTAACATCTCAAAAGCTCAAATAATATCTCAGATACAGCCCGAAATCTTAATGAGTTGAAAGGATGTTCTGTGGACGCATTCTCATCTACCTGCCAGCTGTGCTCGAGTGCCTTCACACTGACCACTGAGATCCTGGGACCAGCAGGAAACACGGCTCATGACAGCAGAAGGACAGGATCATCCCTTGGCACCTACAGTTGGTTGTCTGCAGTGACGAGGAGCTCGGCAGACTGCTGGGAGAAGTGGCCATCGATCTGGGAGGAGTTCTGCCCGGCATTCGAGCGGTCCTACAGCCAAGAGGCCAGCCGAGTCTGGGTGGATGGATCGGACGGCATCTGCAGCCAGTTTCTCAGGATCCAGTGTGGGATGGACCTTTACAAGAGATCCTTCCTCCCTACAGCCATTAGTATCTATAACATCTCTTAATGAAAGGAGGATAACGAGTTACAACAAGAAATAATTTCCCTTTGGGATTAATAAAGTATTTTTGAATTGAATTGAATTTAATTGATTTGTGATGAAATACAAACTAATTAGTTTCATTTATCCATTCGGTTTACTACAACAGTGTTATTTTGGCACTTTTATTAACATGTAGTAGCATACTATTGTACAAAGTAGTTTCAAATTAAACTTAACTGTGCAAATATAGGTCAACCAAACAACGTGCCTCAAAACTTTTAGATGTTCAAAACATTGGCAAGATGACTCTACTTAGACACACATAGTTGCAGTATCATTAGTGATTACCACTTTCAGATTAGATGTTGTTCTCAATTCTTATTGGACACCAGTAGATAGGGAATAAGTAATAAAGGATTGCACAGACATATGTGGCCCAAAGCAACCACTAGCACTGATGACTTCTGAGTGTTCATCAGAAATTTTACAGTCCTTACTTAATCTGTATGTTGTCTATCTGGAAAACATATATATTTATTATAGATATATATGTATTTTCTTTCAAGTGCTGTTTGTTTCTAACATGAATTACATCTATTTTATGTCATTATGAAAACAGAATTTAATTTAAATGTGACTGATGTTGTGACTTACACACACCCTTGCTATAAGATTGATCATTTCAGTTACAAGTTTACCACAACGCCTTCAGCTGTATGCGTGATGTTATATTGTTTTCTTATCCTTTTGTCTCTTACCACAATATGTGGAAACCTCCTTGTAATAATTTCTGTGTTTTACTTCAAACAGCTCCACACTCCTACTAACTTCCTCATTCTGTCTTTGGCTGTGGCTGACCTGCTTGTGGGGATCATAGTATTTCCTTTAAGCATGGCATTTTCCCTCAGCTCTTGTATGAATCAAGAAGGTTTATTTTGTAAGGTACGAGACAGCTTTGATATATTATTTAGCACATGTTCTATTTTGCACCTATGTTGTATTTCTATTGACAGATACTATGCAGTTTGTCATCCATTGACATATAAATCTAAAATCAGCCGTCATGTTGTTGTTGTCATGATTGCTGTAAGTTGGATTGTTTCTGCGCTTATTGCAATTGCTGTGATGACACCAAGACTAGAAGAACAATGTCAGGAAGAATGTTTTGTTGATGTTTTCATAGCAAACGCAGTTGGGTCCATTTTATCATTTTATCTTCCAGTTTTAATAATGCTGTGTATCTACCTAAAGATTTTTCTTGTTGCACAGAGACAGGCACGAAGCATCCAAAGTAAAATGAAATGTGGAGTAACTGTCAGTAAGCTGGAGAGAAAGGCTACCAAGACTCTGGCTACTGTTCTAGGAGTGTTTCTTTTTTGTTGGACTCCTTTCTTTCTTTGTATCAGTTTTCAGCCTTTTATAAAATATTTAATAGTTCCTGCAGTTGAAACACTTAACTGGGTAGCCTTGACAAACTCAACAATAAATCCATTAATTTATGCTTTATTTTATAGCTGGTTCAGATCAGCCTTTAAGATTATTATATCTGGAAAAATATTACATTCTGACTTTGCTTGCACAAAGCTGAATTAATTTACCCTTTCAGGTGAAGGAATTTAGTTTTGAGTTTAAATTAATATATCATATAATGACAATAAAACTATGCATTTTGAATAAACATTTTGATTTATTAGATTAGATTTTTTTTAAAGAAGGGCAGTTTATCTAACAAAGTCAGGTCCTATGGATGAATTAAAAAAAAACTTGTTGAAACATTTCATCTTTAATTAAAAGACTTTGTCAGTCTGGGGAGTTGCAATAAACTCAGTCTAATAAATAACCCCTTCTCATAATGGATCAACCAGTTTGTTGCTGACAGCCAAAAGCAGCTGTTCACATGACAACGGAGGACCATCAGCCTAACAACCAATCGTTAATGCCCTGATGGCCGCTTGCTATTCACAGAGGACTGAGTGATGAAATAACATCATTGTAAGAAGGTGACAATTAGACATGGAGGCCTCTGCCCCTGTTTAATGATGGGCGGTTTCTATTCACAAAGATGGCTTCCTTCACTCCTCTTTCAAACCAACGTTCCTCTCAATCAAGGATGTGAACATCTTCATCCCTGAAAGAGTGTCTGCTGGCTTGTAGATGAGTGTAAACTGCAGTTCTATGTCGTATAAGCTTCGCCCTTTAAGGCCTTCGCTTTAGTGGTTTATCCCGTTATGCAGAGCATAAGCACTGAAAAAATTAGTCCACGCCCACCTGCTGTGTGGGCCCCACCCGGTCCGTATAAATTACGTTAAGAGCGGGAAATCGGCTCCCCATTTTTTCTTCAGCGAGCTAATATAGCACTGTCAGAAGAACAAAGAAGATAAATTGTGTAAATGACCAACCTTTGTGAAGGATGCTTGGCCCGGCAGTCGACCTCCGGTCGTCCGGTGAGTTTTCCTCCCCGAGGAGAAGATGACAGCAGTCTTATTCCAAGGTAAGCGTCGGGGAACATTTCCCAGTGACAGGTCACTACACGCTGGACAACGCCATCTTGTGTTTTTTCCTCTTATCGCCGACCCTCGGGGCGAACCGGATGGTCCCCCCGGGGCAAGGTGTGCTCAGCTGCAGCCCCCGCTGCTCATTCCCTCCTGGGGAGCGTAGTGTAGGTGGAGGGGGGCTGAGTGAATGCTCACCCCATCCCACCTCGTTTCGCATTGGCGATCACACCGCTCCCGGCCGACAGCGCCCTCAGGGGTTGCCCGGCGGAACCCGGGAGGAGGCTGACATGAAGGGACCCCTTTTTTCTACGTCCCTCGCCTTTTCCCGCCAGTTCGGATGATCGGCGGAAAGGTTGTTTTTCACCGACGTGTTTCCAGGCAGCCGCAGTTAGCAACAACGTGCGCTGCTAGCATATAGCATGTCCAAGGGACTGAAGGCCGCAGACCTGCCTTGGAGACAAGAACTCCCTCTGTAAGGCAACTGACGCTATTCCTCGGTCCCCCCCCCCTGGAGCCAAGCCTCGCGGAAGCTTCCGGAGCGAAGCTGCCCAGGTCGGAGCAGCGTCCCGTCCTTCCGGAGGAACCAGACGGCGACTAAAGCTCTCCAATCGAGCCCACCGACGTGTTTTTCAGGCAGCGGCAGTTAGCAACAACGTGCGCTGCTAGCAGTTAGCATGTCGAAAAGGCTGGAGGCCTCAGACCTGCCGGAGGAGACAAAGAGCTCCCTGTGTAATCGGCAGACGCCATCCTCAACATGTGCGCCGCTTCCACGGGTTGCCTGTCGAGGATTTGCAGCGTGGATGACGGTAATCCAACGTTCCATCTGGCTCCGTCACTCTCCATTGCTGCCGGAAAAGCTGCACAAAGACCTGATGGAGGGCCCCATCTCATCGGACGCGCTGTTCGGAAGCAGCTTGACGTCCATGCTGGCGAATTCGAAGCAGTCGGAGGAGACGTCGGAAGCTGTACGCCATCTCATCAAGCCGCGCGGCTCATCCCGTCCCCCAGCCCGCTGGAGGGATCGTCGAGAGCAGAGGCAGAAACATCGACGCTCCACGGCAGCAGCAGCTTCGTCTAGCCCAGCTCCACCACCAGCCCCGCCCGCCAGAGACCACCCCTCCTCAGTCCGGCAGCCTGCACTTCAGTGTTTTCCCCAGAGATCGCCTGCAGACGGCGCTCGGAGCAAACAAACCGCAGGGCTCACGGGGAAGAAGTTTTAAGAAATGACGGTCTGCGGAGGATGTGTGTATAAATGACACAGGAATTGAATAAATGATTTTCAAAGATCAAAATGCCTGTTTTTTAGCCAGTCTGTAAGCTCGGATGAGCTCACAGCCGCTACACACACATCCTCCACTCATAAAAGAGCCGGTGTCCTTAAATAAAGGTTTTTTTAAAATCCACCGCCGCTCCTTCACATGCCCAGACGCTCACGTGACACCACGGTAAGCGAAATAACTTGTTGTCAATCAGACCCGCACGATCACCACCCAACGGTGTTAACGCGCACCCGAGCGAGGCAAGCAGCCTCCATCCAAACGGCGCTGTGTCGATGATGCACGCACAGCTGCCCGGCGCTCACCGGCCCACATCGGGATAAATGTGGGACCGCAGGCCGGGTCCGGTGGAGGTCCCCGCTCTCAGCGAAAACAACACACGCCTCTCCTGAATGAACGCGAGTGGCCGTCATCCACCGTCTCAGCGATCGGCAGCTCACGGCGGCATAAGCGTGAGACAGCTGAATGAATCCAATGACGGGCCCCGCCCTCAGCGAGAGCGGCGCACGTCCCTCCAGAGGAAACGTGCGCTCCCGCGAGGCTCACAACCTTCACTTCGACAGCACGGCGTTGATGACGTCACGCCCTCCACCTCTCAACGTTCGCACAGCGACGTTAAACGTGCAGCTTCTCGACGTCATCAGCTGTCACACGCTTCGCCTCAGCACACACCGCCCCGCCCGGACATGAAGGTTGGTCTGCGATCCAGACACAGCGCACGGGCGCGCGCAGAACAGCCCTTTCGAGGAAGCCTCGCCTTGGGTCACGCGGAAAACATTTCCGCGACGCATGACGGCGGTCGAGGCGGAGTTTTGGATGACATCCGTTCAAAACACGACACATCATTTAAACGTACGTCCACTCCACGAACGTCACGCAGAGTGGTTAAAAACATGCTCACCGGACAGATGGATGGACAGAGTGTTATGCAAGGGTTACACGCTGCAGTTTGCAACCCGACCCCCTCCGTTCGGAGGAGTTATAGAGACGGTCCTGTCATCACCAGACCAAGTCTCAGCCTTAAATGCAGAAGTCCAAGAGCTTCTGATAAAAAGTGTAATCTCAAGAGTTCCCAACGAGGAGGAAAACACAGGGTTTTACTCACGCTACTTCCTGGTCCCCAAAAAGACCGGAGGGATGAGACCGATTCTGGATCTGTCGGCTTTCAACAAAGCGATCATGAACAGACCGTTTCACATGTTGACAAACAGACAGCTGTTGGACAACATCCAGAAAAACGACTGGTTTGTCTCCATCGATTTAAAAGATGCTTATTTTCACATACCGATCATCCCAAAACACAGAAAATTTCTGCGTTTCGCCTTTCAGGGGATGAAGTATCAATACAACAGGCTGCCTTTTCGGGTATTCCCTCGTGCCTCGTACGTTCTCAAAGTGTGTGGAGACAGTCCTGCATCCACTGTACAGAGCAGGGATGAGAAGTTTGTTTTACCTGAACAACCTGCTGCTCCTGTCTCACTCCAGACAGGAAGCATTGATACAGGCTCAGGTGTTAGCATCACACCTGCTAAATCTAGGCTTCGCCATAAACTGGAAGAAGAGCTCGATTTTCCCGGCCCAGACAATTGTTTATCTGGGAGTGGTATTAAACTCAATTACCATGACGGCTCGTTTATCACAAACAAGAATCGACACTCTAAAATCCAATTACGCCACGTAAGACCTGGCAAAGTGGTAACAGCTGTCTCCGTCATGAAGCTGTTGGGAATGATGTCATCAGCTCACACAGTGGTCACGCTGGGTTTGTTACACATGAGACGCCTCCAGAGGTGGTTTACGCGTCTGCGTGTGGATCCAGTAAAACAAAAGAGACGGATGATCACTGTCCCTCCCTCCGTGAGAGCAGACCTCCGACACTGGGGAAGCATTCTGGCTCTGTCAGAGGGAGTCCCCGTCAGCAGACCCACGTCATACGTGTCAGTCTTCACGGACGCGTCTCTGTCAGGTTGGGGGGGGGGACATGCCTATCTCAAGCAGTAGGGGCGCTGTGGTCCCACCGCACATCAGCCCACATCAATGTTTTTGGAGTGTCGCACAGTGCTGAATGTGATTCAACACTTTGCTCCCGTGCTACAGAATCAACACGTGTTGATTCACACAGACAACATGGTGACTGCCGCGTACATAAACCGCCAGGGGGGTGTGCGTTCAGCCCAGATGTTTCACATTGCGCGGAAGCTACTGAGTTGGGTTCATCAAACCTGCTCTCTATTAGAGCGTTTTTACATATCCGGTGTTCTGAACAGAGGGGCAGATATGACGTCCAGGGGCGGCCCACGTCACGTGGACCAGACCCTCCATCCAGATCTGATGTTTTCAGACGCAGCAGAAGTTGGCAAAGCAGCTGTGGACCTGTTTGCGACGCGAGAAGAACGCTCAGTGTCAACTATGGTTTTTTCCCTGAGCCCACGAGACAATCCATCGCTGGGGGGGGGGATGCAATTGCTCACAGCCGGTGGCCCAAAACGCTTTTATACGCATTTCTTTCCCCCCACCTCCTTTGTTTCTTTACGATTCCTGAACCGAATTCAGGAGGAGGGATTGACAGCTCTCCTGGTGGCTCCCGGCGTGTGAACGCACCATGGTTCCCAGGCCTGCAACGTCTGTTGTCGGGTCGCCATGGAACTGCCGTGGAGGGAGGATGCTCTCCTTCAGGCAGGAGGAGCGACCAAGAGTTACCCAGAAATAGGTCAACACCTGTGGGTCTGACCGTTGAGCGGTCCCACTTAGAGGATGGGTCTCCCTCAGGAGATAATGTGCACAATTCAAGATTCACGTGCTGCATCTACCACAGTTCTGT